TTAAACTAAGCAGATATAAATTTACTTTAACTCATTATTTAAATTAAAGATAAATAACAATTTAACGTTAGATATTTTGTATAACAATTATGGATACAAATAATAACCTTAATAAATTATTAAATAGACATTAGGCCAACTTTTCTAAAATTAATTTTTCAAATGTTTAACTTGTTTTTTCATCATATTTGACAATGCGAGATCAACACAACATATTATTATTAGATGAGTTCGCCAGGGTGACCCCCAAAAGTCCGGATCAGGTGATCTGCCATATCTTAATAATAGTATACGTACGTATATACATATTTATATATGCTTTGTTATATACAGTGTTTAAGAAATTTTACAACAATAAAGCTGCATGTAGGAGCTAAACGATTCAATAATTTTTTAAGAAATTATGCAGTGGCTATGCCACAGATCAGCTGATCTGGACTTTTGGAGGCTGCCCTGGTGAACTTATTATTAAATCAACCTGTTAGAATAAATATTTTTCACAAATCACAAAGATGTTTTTCATACAATACATTGTTTTCTAAAAATATATAATACAGTATAAATATTCTATATTTGGAATACAATTTACGTAATACCAAACAAATTTGCATCCCTTATATACGTACAATACATATCATAGATAAGCATTTTATATATAATTGAGGTCTGTTCAGAGTGAAGTTAAAACAAAGCGGTTGATCAAGATCATAAAAAGCAAAGCACGATACAACAGGCGAGAGACACAAGATCAAGAAAATGGATACTAGAGAAAAATATAAAATACAACCAAATCTGTAAAATATGAATTTTCTTTTTAAGGCAATTTTTCGCTTAAAATGGGTAACGATCATTTCCAAAATTATATTACCAATCGAGTAAAATTATGATAGCATTGTATGATTTACGACGCAATCCACTTAGGGGTTAACAAGTTGCTAAAGAATCTTCAAGTTTTAAATCTAGACCAAATCTGACTCCCCATCTTGGATCGGCTAATAAAGTGTAAAAAGATCTACTTATATTTTTAGTACAAATATTTGAAACCTGATCCGATTTCTTAAACTACGTTAATTACAGCTTGAAAACCAGATCTACATAGTCGATTTATAGTTAAAGCTGGTATTTCGATCGGTAAACCAGCCCTTAAACCTACGTGAAGAGCTAGATATGGAGCTGTATTATCGGTTTGTAAAACATTTCCAAAGAATACTGAATTGATTGGAACCTTTTTTTTAAGACTTGCTATCACTGCTGACACTGTGAAAGCTCCTAATTCGTTGGCTTTTTTTAATAATTGAAATATGTTAAGGTGAAAAAATTATTTATAAGAATACTTTATAATTAAAATGTTAAAGAATTACCTGTAAAATTCTTTAAAGAACCACCAAATGTTTCAAATGCCATTCCTTTTTTTTAAGTTACCTTTTTAAGGCTGCAGTTTGACAACATAGATACTACTTAATTAACCAAATACATACTTTTAGCGGCTATAATGTAGATGTTCTGTACCATCTTGTATTACAATACGTTAAAGAATAACGTAAAAGGTTAAAAAAAAAAATTCTCGAGACTAAATTATATCATGTTTAGTTATGCATAAAAATTAAAAAAAATTCATATTACGTACATACGTACTCAGGGTAGAGATGGAAAATTACCGTAATTTTATGATATTTTATAAAATTTTGTATAATTCTGAACATAATGATGGACATCTATTAGTGCTGGCTAATATTTTGTAATGTTGGTAAAATTATCATGTGACAATATGTGACAATGCACTATTCAATACATTACAATTTCATAAGTTACAATGTAATTTACATGAAACGTAACAAAGTAATTATATAATATATCCCTAACTCAGGGTTGGTAATTTCATGCTCCTTTGAAAAATTTTGCATGAAATTTATGAAATTTTAGATTATTTATTTAATAACTAAATTATTTATTATATTAATATACTAGATTGTTATCATTAGAGTATACGTAATAGATTATATTCATAATAAAAGTGATAGTATTTGTTAATACTGTATCTCCGGCTACAGATCCAAAATTCTGTTTAATAGAATCATCGCTAGAAAAAAATCAAAACACGTATTGTCACGATTTTGTGCACTGCTAGAATGGTCCAGTTCATTACTAGAAATAATAATGTTAATGTGTAATAACTTTGTTTACATATCTATACTGACAGATTTGTTGCGTAAGATAAGTTGGTGAAACAACTGGATCTAACTTATCTTACAATAGAAATAAGCAACCAATCAAAACAAATTTGACCTATGCTTCTATTAAGATCTGAACGGATCCAATATTTTTAATGCAGAAGTACTGTATCTGTCTATCGAGATTTTAATATAAATGTCAATGTCTACTTATTATCATTATCGTTATTAATTATTAATTTAAATTATTTTCATATTCATTTAATATGTATGTATATACGTACGTACATCATTCATAATAGTCATCCGATTTGTCATGCAGATCATGTGTATAAAATTTTTAATATATAAGTCAAATGATTGATGCACCTAAATTTCATAAGTAAAATTTTGGCAAATTTTGCTTTCTAGGATAATTTAATGATTAAAAGGTTGTTGGTTTAAATTTTATATAATAGTTCACAAATTCTCTAGCATTTGAAGGTTCTTCTCACAAAATTTCAAGGCGATTGGGAGTAAAACAAAAAATAATCTGGTCCACGAAGTTGGCCAATTTTTTTACAATTTTTACTATTTATTTATATGTGATATACATCATTTATCCAAAATAGGGAGACGTCTAAAGTGGAGCAGAATCACAAGCAAAATTTTATTGGCCAGATGAAATGATACCTCTGATTGGTCAGAGATTGTTGATCTGTCAACGAAAAAGAGATGGTTGAGTTTCTTTGGACTTTACTTTTCTAACGTTAACCCCAAATGCTAACGCAAGCTTTAATTGAGTTGTGGTATCATTTTGTTGACTTTACTCACAGCCTTCTTTACTTTAATTATTGCGGCTTACTTACTTTTGGTTGGCCCTTTCACGGTTCCTTTTTTTTTTTTTTTTTATAAATTTTTTTTTGTTTTTTTTTTCAACCGGTTGAGAGAAAGTTAATTCCAAACAAACTTCAACATTAACATTTTCCACTAGTTTTTTTTTTAACACTAATCTTAAATACTAATTTTAAATCTCCTTAAAACTTGAAATTGGTTCGCTCGTCTTCATCGATATTTTTTTTTTTTTTTTTTTTATATATATATATATTTTTCCTATATTACAAAGCTATAAGCAAACAACATGGACTTACCCTGTATCACTTCATCAGAAGCTGCATCAATAACGAATCTTACCTTAGATGAAAAGAGGTATCTTCTTTTTAATATAAATTTTTCTTTGGAGATTCCAATAGAAGATTTTAATGATGCTTGGTGGCCATTAATAATCAACATTTGGACGCAATGGAATTCATACAAAAGCATAAGTAGCGATATTATGAAAGTTTTTGCCTGCCATTTCACGAAGCACCAAAAGTCAAGCACCTGCCAACAAGAAAATATCCTAATTAAAAAATGCCGTATGATGAAGACATGACCGTCGGGATTATGTGAAGCAAAAATAAAGATTTCTTGGTTAGTTTCATCGAACAAGGTGAAGGTTGAACTGCATAAAACCTCCTCAGATCATACGCATCTCTTGGAGGAAATTGAGAGAATTAAACATTCCAAAGCAATTAGAACTCTTGTAGAACAAGAAGCAGTTAAGAATTATTCGCCCCGATGATAACTGCGGCTGTTAAAGAATATGCAACAATTAAGCTGAGTCTTGGTTCTAGTGCACACGAACTAAAACGAAAGAAAGTGACCAACATTAAGCATAAAGTTCGCGGGCTTGTTGAATCTCATCTTGTTAGCGATTTTAGTTTGGAAATTGATTTTTCAAATTCTGTATCATATTTAATAGAGCAGAGATATCAGATTAAGGATTATCATGTTCTCTAACAGAATACCAGAGGCATTGTTTTTGCGTATCCCGCCCAGCTAAAGAAACTTCAGAATCACAGATGTTTGATACTTATTGATTCTACTTATAAGACTAACAGATATGATTAGCGCCTTTTTACTCTATATATTCATGATACCTATGGCTACTGGGATGTAGATGCTTATTTCTTTGCTAGTACTGAAGACAGTGACACCATTGAGCAGTGTTAAAAATAATCCATAGTAAGTTTTGTCGCTAGTCTCCCTGGTATATACTATCAGATCAAAGTAGTATTGAGGCAAAAGATGTTAAAATAACATTCTCTGGCATAAGTGCCAGTAAACAAGAATGTGAATTAATCTTCTGCATTGTCCATGTGATGAGGATTTGGTTATTAAAAATCTATAAAAAAGAACTTCGGGATATCATAATTGCGGCGATGCATAAAAGAACAAGAATTGGATGCGAAAAACTTGTTTAAGATGCAATTAACTGTAGCACTGTCTCTGCCATTCAGAATTATATTGA